GGCAGGTGGGTGGGTGGGTGGTGGGAACTCATGCCGGCAGTGTGGAAAAACTGCAGCGGGAGTCAGAAGTCCCAGCGGCGCAAGCACTGCACCAGGGCCCGGGGGAGGAAAGGGCGGGGGAGGGGATGCGCTGCGTGCAACGGAACTCACTGGATTCTCCTGGGTGCCCCTTGGCTCTTCAGGGTCGTAAAGTTTGTTGGGCGCCACCTGTTAGGATTAAAGTCTCTTTATTCAAGAAGACACCAAGGCAAAACACAGGCCAGAGCTAGGTTATAGAACCCAGCAAGCGCGGCCAGAACAAAAGGGGCCTGGGTCCCCACGTGCAGCCCCTTAAGAGGCTCCCCTATGTCACTCCGACTTTCCTTCACCACGCCCTTATGGGCAAGTCCCGGGTCCACCTGGTACCTGTCCCAGGACTATTGGGCGGGGCTAGGGTGTCTCCCTACACCCCTTTATGGCTTTTGCTCCACTGTATCTTAGGGAAATGAATATAATACCATTTCCCCAAAGTGCCCACTCACCACAGCCTATAACATCTCCTCATGGCCTCTTTTAAACTCCTTTATCCAGAGGCACCTCTGGAAGAAATTTGTTTCTCAATACTAAACTTTGAAAACTCTAGTACCAAAAAATCATTTCAATTCAAATAAAAGTATTAATTCTCTTCATTTCATGCTATGAACATCAGTGTTTTTTTATTTTTTTCATGTTCTGGAACTCAGGTATGAAATATGGCCTCGGAAGCCATACCTTTCATGAAAATGCCTCTTCTAAATTCTGAACGCTGTGAACAAGAGTTTAGGAGAAAGTACACCTATGTTAAAGACTGTACAAGGCTGGTTGACTAAGTAGAGCATCCATGTCTCTTAAGTGTTGGGATGTTACAAATCAAGAGCCAAAATATCTTGGGCTCTTTTTAGAGCCTTTTATAACCATTCCTGGCCCACCTATGTGTTAGGTCTTATGACCATTAGATAACTAGTTTAGGAATCTATTATCAGAGTCATAGCTTCCACCAATCCAAAGTCTAAGAATACCATCACACAGCTTATGGGATCTACAGCAGAGATTCTTCTGCTTTGCTGTAACATGCCTACCTGATGATTTAATATGTATTTGGCCAGTGACTTAAGATTTTTTTTTGTTCTGTAACTGTAAAATCTTCATTAAATTGTTACAACATTGGAATGTGGTATTGGGTTTAATCTGATCCTGTGTTCCTGGGCTATGGCTCCAGAACCAACCATTTCTTACTCCAGATGAGGTTAAGAGCTGTTTCTGCATCAACACAAGTCATGTGTCAGAAGCTAACTAAACACACCATGCAACATTTCACCAGTTAGTTTTGCAGAGATTTTCTTAATTATTCCAGATTTCTCTTTATTAAAACTCAGGCCACTCCCTCCCACTCTACAATTTTGTGAGAAAACTACAGCACAGAGTGAGCATCTATCACAGTGCTCAAGGTGTTGCTCTGGCTGCTGGTACATAGGTCACATTACTCTTGACTCTGAAGAACTGTAAGCACTAAGGAGGCAAGAAAAGTGAAGGACTGTGTACAAAAACAAGTGCTCCTTCAGTTGATGTCACAAATGCAATACTGAAAGTTGAGTGACCTTGTAACTTGACTGACACGTTTGTGCTTCAGTTTCTCCCTATGTAAAAGATGATGATGATGATGATGATGATGATGATGATGTCGGTGATGATGATGATGGCGGTGATGATGATTGTACACTCCATGAGATTTTGTGATGCTCAAATAAAAGCTTTTATAAATGCTCAGAAGACTTCCTGGTGGCAGCATCCGATGTCTGCTATTATTAGACTTATCGAGGCAGAACATCAGAATAATAGCCTTGATTAAGGTCTGATTCATACTTTTATTTTGGGTTCTAAACTGCATCTGACCTCAGGACCCCTGCCTTCCATGGTCAGGCCCTTAGATTCACTTTTTTGCTGCCTTTGATCACTTCTTGTCATTCTATTAGACTATTTCCATTCAATTATTTGTCAAGCCCTCACTCACCATTTTTCCTAAAAGACAGATAATCCAATAGAAATGGGGGATGAAGAAAACCCTACAGAAAATGGGGAGTGAAGAAAACACGGTGTTTGTCAGTGACATACAGTGAGGCAGAGACCCTAAGAAGTGCCCGGGAGAAAGAATGCAAGTCACAGTGACTGAATCTAGTTCCACCCTCAGGGAGCCCACAAGAATATGTGAATGTAAATATATGATATATTATGACATACTGTGATATAGTATGGCTGGGTCAACTGTTTTTTCTTATTCACATACCTTTATCTATATAATACATTTTCCGTTTCTGTAATAACTTGTGAATACTTCCATTGTTGCTTTCCTCTTTGCCTCTTGGATCCTTCTTCGTAAGTTTTTATTTTGTCATTTCTAGTTTAAAGCTCAAAAATTCCCCACTAGAGTCATGAAAAAATTAAAATCCTTGGCACATTACAAACAACACACACACACACACACACACACGCTCGCTCGCTCGCGCGCGCACACACACACACACACACACACACACACACACACGCTCGCGCACACACGCACAAGCACCATCCTCACGAACTTTCTGAGCCTTTCTGTTCTCTTTTCATCTTTCCTTGTTTTTCCAACCTATCTGTTGGTACCCAGTGTCTAGCCTCCAGCCCAACTGAATCAGTTCTTTAAGGGTTCTTCATTCTTCTCTTAGAACTCTCTTGCCTCAGGTCTGCCTCCACCAGCAAGTAAATTGTTATTTGTTTGCTTGCTCGCCTTTAAGACAGGGCACCACTCTGTATCTCACTCTGACCTAGAATTCACTACATAGCCTAAGTTAGCTTCAAATTCATGGCCATCCTCCTGTCTCAGCCACACAAGTGCTACATTATGGGCATGAGCCATTTATTTCACCTAACTAGTCAGTACATTTCTGTTCCTTCAGAAGGCTGTTTGTTTGTTTGTTTGTTTGTTTGTTTGTTTTCTATGGAGGAAATAGTCTCAAGACCTTCTGGCCATTCAATACCTATTTACCTACCAGTCAGTGAGTTCTCCTACACAGTCCCTACACAGTCAGCTGTCAGTTTTTCAGTGTGTTTTCCTTTCACATTTGGAAGCAAATCTGTAAGTTGGGAACTTGTGACTTTCTAGATTTTTCTGTTCAGTAGAATGGCTGATCAAGCTACATCCTTCACAAGCTTCCATTGCTTTGAGTGTTCCCCTCCATCCTGTCTGCTTAGCCAGGTCTTACCATGCAGTGGAGCGATGGAAGATGGGCAGATTATGCTTTGAATTGTTCCGGCTCCAAGTGTCCTGTCGCTCCAGCTCTATTACTGAGCACATTTCACCATCTATGAAGTACTGATGTTGAAAACGTCCTAGGGTGCTTTGGGGTGGCCAGTGAGGTGTCAGAGGGATGTACAATGAAGAAATAAGGAGTCCAAGCTCTGACAGAGATGGAGGACTCTTACAGGAGAATCCAAGTGCTTCAGGTTGTAAAGGGTAAAATCAACAGGACACGACAGTTTGAAAAGGAATAAGTTTGGTGCTGCCCAGAAAAAAAGGAACCAGTGCCCATACATTGCAAATTTTTAATGATTCCTTCCACTACAATGGCTTTATGTCTCAGGGATTCAGACAGCAGATACTGAAGTCACATATTGCTTATAAAGAATGGGAATGAATTCCACAAGATGGCTGAGCTGAAATGCATGTCCATTCACCCTTATGAATTGTGGACATAGCAGGCAAGGACTGACTCATGACCTAGGCATGTTTGGTTTCCTTCTGGAAGTCTGTGAAACAGATAAATCTACTACATACTACAGGTAAGTGTGACAGATAATAATACTACATGTGACATATTTCACCTCAAAACATTGTCAGGTGTTCTGGCAAAGTTTGGGTAGAAGATGGGGGCATCTAGGATATCCAAAGTTCACCAAAGCAATAGCATGAAAAGCCCATCCCCCCCAGCAAGGGGATCTGCTGTATGACAAGTCACACATCAAGCCTAGCACCCAAACAGCATTTGCTCTGTTCATCTTCATCATAAAGCAACCCTCAAACCAGTTAGACAAATGAGACATCCATCACATTGTAAAAAAAGAAAACTCTTTCCCTCAACCCCACCCCTCCACTTGTTCTCGCTCAACCCACTTCGATAGTTGTTCTCCTTTATGTCCTAGAACATTTTCTGTCACCTCGTCTTGTTCCTCATACCTCCTCACCCCACAGCTTCCACACACACCTACACCCTACAGCCTCCACCCCAGCTGGCTGCCTGCCAATCACAGCCCTGTGAACCACTGGTTCCCCAGTTCCCTCTTATCTGCTGCCTCTGCTGTCACCCACAAGAAAGCAGTGCTCAAAATATTAGACAAAAGTGTGGTTGGCACTAGGAGACACTGTCTGTACAAAATCAAAATAACTCTAAAGCTCCTAATTCTTAATCCATCAAGTTGGGAATTATTTTCACTTACATTTTGGTAGACTTTAAAATGTCTCATGGACATGGTACTTGGACCAATGCTGATAAGATTTGACCCCCTCCCCCAGGATGATAGGAGCACCAAATAAAAATATTTTGCAAAATTAACTATAAGTGAATAAAGATGCAAGCCGGTGGGACAATGTGTGTGAAAGTAAGCTCACCAGGAACAGATGTCCACAGTGATAAAGACGACGATCATAGACACTTCTTTGACTAATTGCTCTCGCTAGACTCTTTCAGACACTTCTCACATACAGACAGCATAAATAATGCAGACCAGCCTTGAAAACAGGAATCTCTGAAGGGATCCCATCTTGCATCATTGCAGAATTCTGCAGTGTTACTGTGGCATTCAAATGCCAAAATGCCAACAATAACTGTGTCAGAATGGACATTGTTAGCTCTATGGCATCTCCTTTATGGTAGATAGTTTATCTGCTGATACCTTCTCTGAGCTTTCATTAGAAATTGTGGGGGACCGAACATTTCTGTTATGGAATATTTTGGGGCCCAGTCTTTAGCTCCTGTAAACAGGGGCACTGGAAAGCTCCCGGTCACGATTGTATTGTTAATTGCCAGTAGGGCTACTATTGTTTACCATGGCCTCAGGGTAATATGCCTCCTAATTTGCATCTCTGTAGCTTAAGCCTTGAGTAGGTCCATGCCTGGGCTGAGGACTCTGCCTACTCTGTGACCAAGAGTTGTTTA